ATAAAAATAAAATATTAAAAAAAGATAGTCCTTTGGAGAAGGTAGAAAAAGAAACCACCCAAAGAACAGTGAAGATCCTAAGATCCAGAAGTGTTTGCTGGGCTCTGTATGAAAGGGAGGACCAAGGCTCAGTCAACAGCATCATCTCTCAGTGTGGACGCATCTCAGCTCTTGTCACTTGACCCTGGGACTGACTCTCATTAAAAGAGTCTTAACCTCTCACTTTGCCATCCTATGTACCTTAGTCCCTGACCCTGCTCCAAAACTGAGATATTGGGTATTGATTTTTATGCCTTGGGTGGCGAGAATATTATCCCATTATGGTTCAGTTGCCTGACTAAGAAATGAGGGATGGTAGAAAGTTAGCAGGTTCATTCAAGGGCTGGCATCTTGAAAAAATGAAAGGGCCATCAAACTCAAACTCCATTTTGGGTGTCACTGAGATACACAGGGATTGTCTAGAAAGGGTGAGGTGGAAAGAGTCAAAAGGCTGACTTCCATGTAGCATTTTCATCATATAGGGCCTGAGAATTTTCTTTCCCTCTGGCTAGAACATAACAATGGAACTCAGCCACCTAGGGCTTTCTCCTGTTGTTTTTTTTTAATGGAATTCTAGACCAAAAGCAGCATTAGAAAGGTCACCAGATGTTGTGAGCTTTGTAAATCTAAATAACTCTTATTTTTTAGATTTTAACATTTTAATCATTTAGGTGAAGTTTCTTCTTTTAATGTACAATGCTTGGCAAAAAGGAACAAACATAAACCTTGCAACAGTATCAGGTAACCAGTGAAAGGCAAAAAAAAATAGATGAAAATAACTCTGCTAACAAATTCCCAAGTATCTTCCCTGTTTTAATATCATTGTTCATTTCTTAATAGTGGGAGATTTTTACAGTGTTAGTCAATATGCCTTTTATATGTGCTGATCGAGGGCATAAATGTGAGTTGGAAAAAAGAAGCAATTTAACATTCATCAGGAAACATTTCCAGAATCCTGACAGGTAGTGAACTACTACCAAAAGATTATATATTACAGTATTTGTCTTACTCCCCAAGGTCTCTAACTTAGCATACCAGAAAGCCAATTTAGGAAAATAATATATTCTTCACTGTAGGAAACAATAACTCATTTTTCTTTGCTTCAATTTTTCCATTTTTCTAAGCACTTGCAAGTCCAGACACCATCTTTCCAAGGAAGTGGAAGGAGTAAAAGTCTGACAGCTAAAAATAAAAGTTTTGAAACCACAATAAAATTTACAAATACAAAAGCCAGCTCATAATGAATCAATGGACCACTGACAATAAAAAACAAAAGATCTAGGCCCTAGGAAAAATTGTCCAACACGATTCAAGGACAACACTGGCCACAGGGTGAATTACAGCATTTTTAAATTTAAAAAAAAATCTAAAGTTGAAAATGGGCTGTAAATACATTAGTATCTTGCTGGCTGAGTAAATAGTTTGGTCTCATCATCCAGCCAAACATCATCCAAGAAGATATCAAACTACCCCAAAATGAGACATTCAGTAGCTAAACTGAGTGCTCTGTGGGTGTTTAAGAGGAAGATCATTCCTGTGTCACTTTCATATTATAAAAGGGGTGCCAGTGGGCCCTCAATGTCCAAGGAACATAGTAGTGCCATGGCCTTTCCACCGAATGGGCACATATTAAAAGTATTTAAAACAGATTTCCTGAGCTTTACTCTTTGTCCCTGTTACTCCTTGCTCGTTTCTAAAACAAATTCCTGACCGCCAAAGTAAACAAAGGAAAGGTTTGTTTATTTCGTAATTACTAGAGGTTTCAATCCATGCTTGGCTGGCTCCAAAACAGAGTGGCACAGGGCAGAGAGCATTCTTTCATGGTAGCTGCAGGTACAAGAGAGCAAAATGGAGGAGTAGCAGCAACAATGTCAATGGAGAGGAAGTCTGACTCTCTTGTCTCTTTTATATTATATTGAGGCTATCCATCTCAGGTTGGGTATAGCACTCACACCCACAATCCAAGCAGTACTAAAACCCATAATCCCAGTCAATCATAAATTAATCTCAAACTCTAGAAGGCTCTCCCCACTGACTGCATGAGGCTTATGAGGGAAAACCAGAAGCAAAGCATAACACTATAAGGCAGGAAAATGTCTTCAATTCATTGTGAACTATCAATCTTATACTCATTTACCAGATTTTGGAGTGCTGGATTCTTATTCTGAAGGAGATTTTTAGGTTATTTCTATCCTGAGCAAAGAAGTGATCAAGACAAGTGCAAATCATCATGAAGTTTTATTAAACGTAGCAAGAGAAAAAGGCTCTCAAGAAAAAGTTTGAACCAAGTAGGGAAAAAGTATACTCTACAGCATGAGAGCAGGCAAGAGAGAACATAGAGGGAAAAGTTCAATGTGGACTGCGCTTTTTATATCATCCACTCCTCCGGCTGATGTCAGGTCAATCCCACCCTGTTATAGTTGAGTAGGCCAAAATTGTCTAGATTCTTTTGCATAAATAGAAAAGAATTGCCAAGAATAAACCTCATAATAAGTACCTCTGTTTATTGAAAATCATTGGACGGTAGCAGAAACAGGCAAAAGACATCAAAAATAGGCAGAAAGAAGAATCCAAGAAGAGGAACTCGCAAAGAGCTTCACACAACTTAAGCTTCCAATATTTAAAGTGTCAAGTACTTCTAACTTCACGTGCCTCCCATTATAATCAGATGCCTCTGACTCCAGCTATCTGCAATTTCTTCTTTCAGTGGTGTTGTAACTAATGATCTACTTACTCGGGCTTGGAGACCTCCTTACTTCAAACATAGGCTATCTGTGCCCCCACTGAGTGAAGGGAAAGGAATGGCCCAAATTTTGTTTCTTCCTACACGAAACCTACTAAAAACCTGTCTCAGTTCTTGCAAGTCTTTCTACAGAGTTTTGAGAACTGTTCTTTACATGTGTCTTGGGATTTCATTCTTAAAATCTTTATTTATTTATTTATTTATTTATTTACTTGGTACGTGGTATCACTATACATCTTGCACTCACGGTAATCCTTCTGTCTCAGCTTCCGCAGTGC